AAAAAAAAAAAAAAAAGAGGCAAGAAACCATAGGTCTGTGAATATATACTGAAAACCACAGGAATGTTTGGATATCCTATATTTTCACAGAGACTGCTCTAGGATCTAGACTTACACTAGAGCAATAGGAATTTAGATTGTTATTAAGAAACATGATTTGAAGTCTGAAGAAAGCAATACATTAGCAAGAAAGATTGCAAGTCATCTTCCCTAATTTCTTTTTCTAGAAAGGTAAAGCTTAGACACAGAACTGTCTTTTTTTTTTCCCCCTCCAGCCTTATAAATTCACTTTAGGAGACAGGATTAGGCTTGACGCTTTGTTGTTCAAAGACAAAATCCATGCAAGACCCAAATGATTCAATATTCATACACTGTTAGCTGGGATAATATTTTCTTTTTGTAATCCATAATGTTAATTGGTGAGACATCTCACCAGCCTTTTTATTTTTATTCAGGTGTTGGAAGTGGAGACGGACAAGATCTAGAAGTACACATAATAATGCTGAACAAGACTGTCTTTTCTTGTTCTGCTTCCAAAAACTGCAAAGTAAGAGAAAACATGTGAACTGAAAATCCTGGTGTTTGATTGTAAACATGTTGACCTCCCGAAACCCTCACTCACCACAAAGAGAAGCCATATTGCTTTCTGGTTACTATCCAACTTGGTGCCCCTGGGTCTAGATGCAAGTCAGAATTAAACTAAACTTCAAAATAGTTTTTTCAGGGCATTTTTCAGAATATATTTTCAGTTCAGAGTGTTACTTTGGTGTTCATTTCTCCACAAATGCCAAGCATGTTCCCAGGGATCTATCAGAATTTTAAATGCATGTATCTGGTCATTTTTAGCCATATCTTTTCTTCTTGGTCATTTTACTATATGGCACTATATGGATTCTGAAATTTTCGTCAGCATGAAAATCACCTAGGAGCTTGTAAAGATGCAGATTCCTAGGCTGTCCCCCAAATGTATAATTTAGGAAATCTGGAATGGGGCCCAGGACTCTCTAGACTTAACAGTGTCCCAGGTGCTTCTAACTCAGACGTCCTGTGGGACTGCACTATGAGAAACCTGACAATGCATGAGTTAATGGATTGGGGAGGAATTTCTTTACCCAAAGCAATGGCACCTGGTGGTCAATGTTTTCTTAAATGTTGAAGAAATACCTAAGACTACAGACTTTTTCAGAAGCAATAAGAAAGCTTCCTTCCCAGGTGTAAATGTAAACTTTCAAAACATTCTCAGGCTGGTGTCTCTAGTTCTATCACTTCCCCTACTCCATTCCTTTCCCTTCTTTTTGCCCCTGCCTCAACTGAGGGCATTCCCCCAGGCCTGATCCTTGGCTTTCTGTTCTTATCTCTGCACATGCTCTCTTCTTGGTTCCGCTCATCCATTCCCGTGCTTTAAATTGTAATTAGTTTCTTTCATTTTTACTCAACAAGTATTTATAAGCACCCATTACATGGTACACACAGAGGCGACAACATGGACAGTCTCTGCTCCTACAATTCAAGCACATTCGTCAATCCAGATTTATCCCATGAGCTTTTCTTCTGCTTCTCCAAGTGGTGCCAGCATTGTCTCACTCAGGCCTTCAAATTTGGTATTGTCTTTGAGTCTCTCTTTGTCTTGGTCCCCTAAATCCTGCTGATTCCACCTTTGAAATCTCTCTTCACTCCTTTCCTCTTTGTTCCTGTTTGCCACTGCCTAGTCCAGGACCTCATTTGTTCTTGCCTAGATTTCTACAATGGTCTCTTAAATATTTTCTTTTCTCCCTATACAATGCAGTTCATGGAGTCCTACAATATGCATTCTGAAATACTGCTGTCATTGTGAAAAGCTGTAGGTAGAGCAGAAGACACACTGTGTGCCCATGGTCAAAGCCAATTAACACCTTTATCTCAATCTAAGATTACATCTCAAGTACTGTGAGGATTAAATTAGATGTGATGTTGCTTTGTGAACTATAAATTACTAAATAAATGTTATCTGTAATAATTATCAGGCCACTTTGTCACATGGGACACGCCCCCACCATACTCTTCAATAACTTCATTCTTATTTCTTTAGCTCTTGAGCTTTCAAGACGTAGCCCTATGATACTTGAACTCATTTCCATCAGTAACTTGACCTACAGACTCCATTCCAAGAAGACTTGGACCCTCAAGGCCCTTGAAGCACAACACTCTAACTTCTGCTTCATGGTTTTGCTGGTCTTTCCTCCTCACCCCCCCACCAGCCTCCTGTCTGAATTGGATTTTCTTTTCAGTGCTCCTCTTCATTTATACAAATCCTTCCAAGCCCGACTCAATTTCTGCCTCCTCAGTGAGGCTTTCTTTTTCCATACCTCCTGTCAACCTTCCCAAAGCACACAACAGCACAGTCTTCATTATACAGCTTGACATATAATTATATGCCATTCTACTATCGTTCCTTATGTGTATAGCTCTCTGAAGCACCGAGTCTGCACTTCCTTTTGTATTTTTCACAGGGCCTAGCAGAGGCCTTTCTTATTGTAGGTGGCATTATTACACAAGGGTGAATCAATAACAAAGAAATACTTAGTATAGCTTCAAAGTTGTTCATTCCAGAAACTTGGCCTATCTTTGGTCACTCCATCTAGAAGTCTGCTATGAACCAGGACTATGATCCCATATGTTAGGAATACACTAAGAAGCTGAACTTTAAACTGGCAAAAAGCAATGCATATCTGGTCACGCTGTATCAAAAATAACAATTTTAACATTGAGTTTCTTAGTGTATTCCCAACATATGAAAATCAGGTGACACACATTTGACAGTAATATTTATCTGGTTAATCTAATAGAAAATTGAATACTATGCTTTTCAACAGTGCTGCTCATAACCCTCAAACATACTAGCCTTTTAAAAATGTAAAAAAGAGTATCGCAACTTTATAGAAATAATGATTAACATTTATTTATACATGTAGTGATGAGACCAAGAGTATGTGATAAATACAGGAAGTCTCAATAAGTGAACATGAACTTCACTGTTATATTTATTATCTTATCAGCTTGGTTTGTAGTTCTGAATTCCATGTGTTCATTTACAGACAATTCATGATGTTGAAGCAAACAAAGTAATAATTCATCTATTTAACTGCCCACATCTGTATGATGATGTAAAAGTGAAATTTTTCTGTTCTGTGAGTACTCAAGAAATAGCCTATGCTGTTATTCTTGTCTGGTTTATTGAATGATCCTGGTTTGGGAATTCATTTGCTACATATCCAAACAAGGGAGATATCAACTCCTAGCCAGGGAGGAAGACAAAAACAAGTCAGATCCATAACAATTTTTTTAAAGAACATATGTAATTAAAATTTTTTGCTCATTGTTTTCCTAAATTCTATAAAATTTGCATGTATTGATTTTCAAGTAAGTGATATCAAAACTAAGATGTTGAAAAAAAAAACAAAGGAATGTTTTACTGCATAGCAGTGATCACATTTTTGCATTGTATCTTTAAAACACATTGCTCCCTCTAATTTATAAAATACTTTAAAGATTTTACTTTCCTCTGAATTGTTATATAATACATTATAAATAGTATTTTAATATTTACTTTACGAAAAATGAGTGTTTCCAATACTTACTTTATGAAATATAAGAATTCTGCCATTCTCATCCCTTTAGAATGATTAGCTCTCGGAATCAATTTTACTACGAAGAATAACCTTTTTTTCATGTCTTTTTAGGATGTTCCTAAATACTATGACAACTGCCCGTTTTTCTTTTGGTTCAATACATCTTTCATCCAGAATAACAGGTATGGCTCATGATATAATCCAGTAGAAACAGCCTTATCTTCAATGTCTGTGTAAAGTGTAATGGCAGGTGTTTTGCTGATTGCTAATAAGCTCAATTTACAGAAACCAAAAAATCCTCAATTCACCATTCTTCATTCATACTCATCTTAAAAACATGGCTATTCTTGAGACTGACTATTGCATTATCCTCAAGGTCCATGCCATAGGACTTTTATAAGTTAAAACATCATCAGATCTTGGGTGTGCAAATAAATTCCTTCCGTGGAAGGTTAACATGAGTCTGCTCAGTACTGTGAATACTGCAGGTCCTCAGTATGTGTTGATTTACTGATGGCCAACCTCCACCAAATTCTGTGCCAAAGTAGGGCATCAGCTAGGGGAGGCTTCAGCTGGTGTAAAAGCTGATTGATTGACACACATATCTAGGGCAGCAGTTATAAAGCACAGTCAGACAGCTAAAAAAAAATCATTAATAGTCTCCCATTTAAAAACGGTTTCTAGTAATTAAATTGGAAACCATTTTTTTTTAAAGTAATTGATTTGAAGATTATTCCAAAGGACCTTCTACCATATCAGGAAACTCATTCCTGAGTCTAGAAGCTCTCCATTTTAAGTATTTGTTCTGTGGTGCTAGAAATTTGAGATTATTGGTATCACCATACCATCCAATACAAAAGGAAAAATAATATTCAAAAAATCATGCCGGTGAGGTTTGAAGTGGTTGTGATTGTAATATAGCATGAATTGATACTTCTCATTACATAAATAAACCCTAGCCTATTCTTCGAATCAGAACAGCATTTAAAATTCAAACTTCAAGTCCAGTAAAGCAACGGTAAATTGAACATCTGAGCTACACTTATAATGCACACAGAGTTAATGGATTTTAATAGAGTGAACATTTGATTAGGAGGAAATTTTTTTACCAATTTTTTCCCTGTATATATACAAACAATAAACTTTGACTCATTACATAAGCAAAGTTCCTAAAATAGATATTTGAGTGGAACTTCATTTGGTGGTACCCCTCAGAACTGGTTCTTACTAAAGGACACAAAGTTTTCCTTTAAAACCCCATATTCATACTGGTGGGGCAACACGTTAGATCACTTTTCTCCTCACTTTTTTTTACATTTCTAAAGATTTCTCCAACATTTACACTTCTATACTGCTTGGTAAAGCTGTTTTTATTAGTTATGAGATGGTTCATCAGCCAAAAAGGCCAACTTCATCATTTAAAAGACACTCAGTATTTTACTACTGGGTTTTAATACACATCTAAATCTCTCTGGCTGATTCTCTCACACATAGAAATTTATTTTATTAAACCCAGATGTCATTAATTCCATAAAAAGGCAATGTTAAAAGAATCAGTGACATGTTGTTACTGTGTGTTTGTTACTGAAGATTTTTTGCATCTCATTGGAGAAAGCGGGAGCGTTGGCTCGTAGAAAGCTAACTGAGGTACAGAAAAGGGGCACAGACTAACTGCAGTCCGCAATGCAAATTTTTTTTAAAGCTCTAACATACTGCATGGCTTTTCTTTTTCTTTTGAAGATTTTTATTAAAACTATAGCTAACAATATTAGTTTCAGAGTTGTTTTTTAAGTGCATGGCTTTTTGGAACCTTAAAATGTAATGTTTTTTTGTGTGTTTTTTTCTATTCTAGGCTTTATCTTTCAAGAAGTGAATTGGACAATCCTCACAAAACAAAAACATGGAAAATTTACCGTCCAGAGTTTGCAGTCGAAATGTATTTTGACAATGTTGAGATATAGCTGGTATCTATAGTAAGTGTAGATACCAGCTTCCTAATAGAATTAGTTCTTCCTAATCCCTGCCACATAGTTACAATTTCAAAACCTACTTTCTTAAAAAAAAAACAAAAAACAAAAAAAAACCCTACTTTCTTTTTGGTATACCTATCTATTAAATATATACAAGAGAAAATGTCAATGACTTTTTTTTTCCTCTTTGAAGGAATATACTTCAAAGTTTTCATCTGTATTGAGATAAATTTGGAACACAGTACACAAAAACATTAGTTATCACTTTTAAGAACTTTGAAATAATAAAAGTTTCATATCAACATAATTGAGATATTTAAAAATTGTGATTTTTCCCCCAGTGCTGTGGGTTTATTTCATTTACTTATATATTTTTGGACAAGTATTTATTCCCTGCTTTGTCTCACATTTATAATTTCAGATTAGGAAGGTAATTTCTATTTTCTTCCTCCATTTGATTTACAAACTGAACAAAGATCCCACTGGCAGCCAAGACTGTTAAACCCAGAAAAATGTTCACACAGCAGTCCCCCGCCCCCAACACAAGTTTTCTCTTGCAATCCAAGCACTGCAGAGCGTGACAAGTTTCTTTCAGTTACACACAGACATTGGGGAGGATAAAGAGAATGTTCATAAATATGAAGGATAAAGAATCTTCAGTAACTTCTGCTTTGGTATAACATCACAAGAAGTCAAAGGAAATACTTGCTGAGAGAAATCTAGATTTATTATTTTAAAATCCACCACCTCCACTAACAATCAACTTCACCTAAGCTTGGGGGACTCTGTGAAGGAAAGTCACCTTTTCATTATAAACACTGGTTAGTCCTGTGTCCACAGGGAATCATTTTCCCTTTGGTACCAGGTGCTATTTTATTCCAAGTACTTTCACTGCCACTGTTTCTTAAGGCCGTAATTGTCCTTGAAAACAGTTCAATTTTGCCTTTATTGAAATTATCCTTATTTGATTTTTCCTTTAATTGGCAAGGCTCTCAACAATCTCAACCAATTCTTCAGTAAATAGAGGTAGTAACTAATAAGCAGCAGTGTTTCTGCTAAAACACACTATACTCACTCCTGAAAAAAACTTGCTCAGCAAAAACACACACTAATGAAATGATTTGTCAGGGGAAACCCTGTTTAGGGGTTTGGGATAGACCACTTCAGCGAAGCAATGTTGTAACCAGCACGCTAACCACTAACCACCCAGATGGCAGCTTAGAATGTCTGGAGGTTGCCACAGGGTACTTTTAAAGGGGGAACTAGAGCAGTACTTTAATTGGAGAAGGGCTGGTAGGTGCCAAAGTGAAACAGGTGGGAGTAGAGCTCTGAGCCTCAGGAACTGCCATCACGGTCACGTGGAAGGCTGTGCCACCCCAGCAGGTAGCCTTGGTGCAGGTGCTTCTTTTCCTTCCAAATAGCCCACAAAGAGTCCCAGCTGCCAGTGCAGCAGCCCAGCTGAAGGCTTTTTGCTTTTCTGACAAAAGGTATCGTTCTACTCCTCCTAATCTGGCTCCCCTGAAGGAAAAGATCTTGGAGGACATGCTCTCAAGTTCCTTCCATGTTATGGCTACATTATTCCCTGTAATTTGTGTTACAGAAATGTGTGGTGGCAGAAAAGCGTATAAAGTTTTCCTTTAAAATTCATGCCACAATAATCCATAGAGGGTAACTCAGGGGGCAGGCTTAAGTGAGTGGGGAAAAAAATGCTTAGCTGGCTCAGTGAGGAGTAAGATCTTTTTCTCTACTGGCAATAAGAAAGGGAGGAAACTGCAATTTATAAGAATCTTGCTTTTTGTAATAAGATTACAGTTGGGATTTCTTTTCCCTATTCCTCCAAAATGCATCAGAATCTCTGGCAATTGTGAGTTGCCACACTATTTTGCTTCCTCTCATAGAAACTTCTTAGGGCCTTCTTGGGGGTTGCTTTCGTAGAACCCAATGGGAATAATTCCTTGAACAACTCGAGAAACTTACATATCAGAATGATACTGGTTTTCTTAAACAAAATTTACTAACCTGGAATAGAATTATCCAAAACTTAATAGCAAGAAGTTTATTTTAAAAATAGAACGACATCCTGTCAAATCAGTCATATCGTGTCCACAACCTGGTGGAGGGAGATAGAAATTCTAGTAACTAATGTATAAAATGAATGTGTATTGTTGTCTGTTTACTTACGGTGAAGTTCTTTTACACTAGAAACCTCTTTACAAAAAAACAGTGCTCATTTCAATAAAACCTCCACCTTGAAATATTACTATACATAACTCTTAAACATTCCTGACAGTTGGTTCCTAGCATGGATGTAAAATATTTAACAAAACAACTCCCCATATACTCAAATATTATGCAAATAATTTAATGCTACAGAACACTAGAATTTCTTTAAACACAGTATTTCAAGTTACTATATTTTTGTCTGGAGTACAGATCTGAAATGGTACAAATTATACCCAAATACTGAACCATGAATTAAACAGAGAATGAACAATAAATTCTCCTGACTTAGGTTTCCATTCCATACTCCCACTCACTCATAGTTGCCCCTGACTATTTATATTGAAGATATTTAGTTAAATCTTTAAAGGATGACATATGAGAAGGCCAACAGGGCTGACACATGCTGACGGGCGCCTGGTGGGGGCACCAGGCAGAGGGCCCGTGGGCTCTGAAGCAGTTCACTTCCTGCTGGAATTGAGCGCCATTTCTATTTTGCGTCAATCCAGGCCTGTTCAGACAAAGTTCCACTCAGTAGCTACTGACCATTTAAGTATGGAGAGAAAAGTAAGGTAGAAAAGTGGTTTTCCTTTAAAGAAAAAACAAATGGAAGACTAGCCATAGCTCTGGAGCACATCAAGCATGATACTGGGCATCCCCTCCCGCAGTGTCTGCAGCGGCCGTTTGTCAGCACCTCACTTTCCTGACCCTCTTGCTTCTGGCATATGGCTGGAGTTCCCAGGGAGGCTTCACGGAGAACAAAAAGCTTAAGGAGACCAGAGGTTTCACACAAGATTGCTATTCTGCTGAAGGGATAGACACAGGGTGTGGACTATTATTAACACTGTCGAGCCCCGCAGTGTTAGGCTTGCTTGCAGCCTTACAGGCTGCTTAGGAACACTTTTTATTGAGAGAGCTCTTGCTGGTCTTGGAGCCGCATGGAATGAGGAGGCTTCCCTTTAGCGGTGACAAGAGGGACCCTCTGATACCAAATGGCCAAAGAACAGCTGCCCATCCCCAAGTCTATGAGAATCAGAGGAACTGGGGGGCATTCATACGACATAGAAATTACTTTTTTGTTTCACTGCTTTAGAAAGTCACACTCCATATAAAGTTATCATTAAGTTAAGTGATTGCCAATATCCAATATAAGAGGCTCCAACATTGTAAAAGCATGGTGAGGGGTTATGGACTCCAAGATAAACTTCAGAATGGGTCAGCCTTGACATTACTCACTGTGTGGTGCAAACACTACGTTTTGTCTAATTCTGAGGAGAGGGCTCTACCCCCGAGTACTGTCCTTCAGTCACCAGACAGGGAACAAAGGCTTCTCTTGGCTTTGGCACTCTGCTTCTTGGATGGGTTTCCAATTGCTGGAGGCGATGAGTGAGTGGTCTGACAGAATACGCTGGAATCCTGCCCAGAGACAGAAGCTAAGGGCTGTCGTCAGCCACAAGGTCTTTACAAAGCATAGCAGCACATCCCCCTCCCCTCAACCCCTCCCTCTATCTAGAGCCCAGCAGACAGGAAGCTCTTTGGGAGAGGAGAAGAACGGAAGTTGGCACAGGTAAAGGCCACACTGTTCCCAAGGGCCTGATACTCTAGGCCACACCCAAAAATATGTCAGAGAGTACAATATGATCCCACCCAGAAAATGAATGGCACTATTTTAACAGTAGATCATCTTGGGAAAATCCAGGATGCCTACTCTGAAACTTAAATCAGGAACATGGAAGACATACCAGTATGCAGGTATATTCTCCTCTTTAAAATCTAGATGGTTTTTTAGTTTTCAAGCACCACAGGAAACCTCTTTAAAAACTAACCACTTGGTATAGTGCATGTGCTAAGCAGATTTCAAAACAGACCCTATATCTAGAATGAGTTAAGTAATCATTTATAACCGTCTTCATGAAACAAAGTTACCTATTGGTTTTTCTGGTGAGATCTGAGATTAAACATGGAATAAAACTATGCTTCATTCACCACACATCACCATCCAAACTGAATATGGAGGTTAATGCAAAATCCCTAGTATAACTATATTTAGCTTTTTGGATTAGGGCCAGAGGGCCAGAGGCATATCCTGTATGTCCCACCGAGGACAAGCGCAGCAACTTTTATATTTCAATACAATTACCGGCAGAAATTATATGATGTAGACTAGAGGTCCCTCCATAAAGTTTAAGATTTAAGGTAGAAGAATGGAAGACAAAAACAAAATTCTCACGAAGTCAAAATAATTCCACATTGGTCTTGTACTCCATCAAACCCTGAGATGAACTGTAGTTATGCGTGTACTTGGATCCAGGTTCGCCAGGACACTTCAGTATGCTTCGAACTGGTTCATCATCAGCTTCCTGCTGTATTCATAGGCCAAAAATAGTGCCCCATTAGCAGGAAACGCTCGAATCATAGTAGGTTTCAGTCCAGAATATAAGGCTGTTATTCCTAGAAGACAAAAGGGTGATCAAAGACTGAGACTCCCTTCCTTAAAGATATCCCACAAAGCTGCATAGCATAGATATTTTTACACTTACAAGTCCAGACAATAGCACTAAAAACCAACAAGTGACAAAAGGACTTATTTCCAGGATTCCCTGGACTAATGGAACTAAAATAGACCAATGGAAACAGGACATCAGGTCTTCCAGCAAAGCTGGGTGATGCTCAGTAACACACACCAATCTCATGCCTGTTTAACTCCTGGTAAATGGATCGGGCAGAGCTGAGGCTTCACGCGGGCAGACAGAAGGCAGCCACAGGCCGTAGTAGCTTTGCAGCTTCTCCAGGGGGCAGGGACCATATGCCATCAGGCCATCGGAAACAGTATTGAAGTCGGAGACCTGTTTCTACTTTTAGCACCACCCAGGGTAGTTATGAAGATCAAATTAGATAAGGGTGGTGTAAGTACTTCATACAACTGTAAATTGTTATGTAAATTTAAAGAGGGGTTGCTATTAGTAACACACAAGGTGTCTGTACTCTATTTGGCATACTAAGTAAAGAGTTTGTTACTGATACTGTGCTCTCTTTTAAAATCAAGATAGAGGAGCTCACATCCCAAGCTTTATGAAGTATAGTGGATGCTGGAAGGACAGAACTTTACTCACTGGAAGCATAAAATTAACTTTACACAAACATTAAGTAGAAAATCTTCATCCTCCTGAATAACTCTAAACATTGATAGAAAATCACCTTTAGAAGTCCTAGCATTAAGGATGTTGCACATTGTTTTAAATCCCTTAGTGGTTTTCTTAGGGTCATCTTCTGATAATGTCTATATTATGTAAAACAAGTGGTGCTAACTTCAAAACATCTGTCCCCTTAAAGACCGTATTTTAATAATTCCCTCTAAGCTATTTAGTACAAAGAATCCTGACAGGTACCTGGCCCAGAAGTTAGGAGTAAGAACTTTAAACATCCTTGAGAATAACGAAAGTAAGCTAAAGAAAGGGGGTTGGAAACAAATCCACCAACACGGATGAATATACAGTGCCAGAAAGCGGTATGAGGCAGGGGGAAGAGATTGACACATCTGATCAGCCTCGGCAAGGCTAGCAGTGAAATGACCAAGCACTCTATACATACCTACCCTGTTTCTGCAATTAGCAGACTCACCTTCATTTTTCACAACACTTATAAAGGTTCCAATAAATCCTGCCTGTTTTCCAGACATGGAAAGAACTTGAATTCTGGACTTGATACAATCCACTGGGTAAACAGCAAGCCAGAGGCTGATTCCACCAACTCCGCCACTTAACATCAAAGGGACAGGGCCTAGAGAAGAACAGTAGCAAACAGTATTTTGTCCCAAGAACAGCTGATGTGACATTTCTAGAGGTCAAGGTAGTGGTGGTTGCAGGTAGATGCAAATAAAAATGCTAATACCGTGGAACACAGTTCTCTGAGGCAACTGCCAAAGCTCTCAGAGCACAGGTTCCATGTGGTAGTCTGGGTCTACCCCTCATCTCGCCGGGACCGGAAGCCCTAGTGAGGGTCGTATTTAGACTGGTCCCTGTGGGGCTACGGCCCTCCTGCCCCATCCTCCAGAGGGGCTGGTCCACCCAGAACCAGCAGGCCCCCAGCAGCATGAGACTGGAGACCACTGAAACATAAGCCGTATCTTTTTCAACTTTCTCCCTCAGAAGTATTTGAGTATTTTAATGCCAAACAGCCCTGATTCTTCCTTTACCATGAAAAACCAAAGTTGTTTTACTAAACGCAACAATGAAGCCTGGAAGCTTGACTAACCCCAGAAGAGGTCCTAAACACTGACGGGAGGTATTTAAGGAAAAAGTAATCACACTTTTATGTGGGCCAAACATTGATATGTTGTATCAAGCAGCTAAATAGGATTAGCTAGAAAGAACTATACTTTTCACTGTTTTCAAAACATTGTCAAGATTTATTACCAAGTTTTAAGCTCGTTGCAAGATGACATATAGGTGATTTCCCCACATATTGCTGATTTCCCAGAGGGAAAGTAATTTCTGTATTTCCTCACCCCTAAAACGGAGCCAGAACAAATTAACAAATGTCATTCAAGTAAAGAAGTTTGGGATGTACTACTTCAGCCAGTCCTGAGGAAATTACCAAGCCCAGAGGAAGGTGGCAGCAGTCACCAGGGCCACCCAGAGGAAGGTGCCCGCAATCGCCAGCGCTACGTTGCTTTCCAGGATCTGGAAACCCCAGTGCCAGGTGGACCCGCCACAAGGGGGCGCAGAGGGCATGGAATCCGCAGCAGCCACACCATTGGAAAGCGGACACTATCAAACGCAAGCCCATTTACCTAGTTCATCTTTTGATCTTCCTGACGCAAAAAACGATCGGCTCAGTTCATAGCCGCCGAAGAAAAAGAAATAGCCCGGTACTTCTCGAAGTAAAGTGCTTGAGAGTCCATGGTAAAAGCCCAATGGGCCATCCTTTCTAAGAATACTCTTCACAACAGACCAAACTGTACTGGGAGGACAAAGAGTGAGAGTGTTAAGGCAGGCAGGGAGAAAGGGCAACAATCGCAATCACACCCAATCACAGACCTGATTAAGCTCTAGGAAGGAAGCAGCTCATTTTATAAAGAGAGGAACCAGAATTCTGAGAATAAAAAGCTTGGGTGGGAAGGAAATCTCTCAGAGAAGCACAGATAACATTATTTTATGACAAGTTTCATCACCTGAACTATTTATTGTATGGTAAAGATATTTTATTAAAATGGATTCATACATTTCTACAAGTCATATTATCTATGGTGTGAAGGAGCTAATACCCATTTTTTCAACAATGAATAAGTGAAGTTACAATAAGGAGTGTCCAAACTCAGCAAGAATAAAATGGTATTGGACTTGCCCAGTCCCTTACCTCCCTCGATTCCTATT